CAATTCTATCTCGTTGTAAATAAAACACTTTAACGGTTTAAAACGAGATATATATTAATTAACTTTGCAGCAGGCGCAGTCTATAATATAGCAGGTATCGCGTTTTAATCCGTTAAAATTTATTTAAAAAAGATGCGTAGTATTATGTCGATACAAACTCTAACAAAGTTGGTACTGATAATTTGCGGGTCTGTTTTAAAGGATAGATGAATATACAACAATCTTGGCAACATTTCCCCGTGTATTACACATTTTCCACTGTTTTCCGCTTAGTTAGCCCTTCCTCGGTAAATGTTGTATCATATATAAAAATATATACAATACATTCTTGAGATTAGCATGTTCAAACAGACAAACTGTTCAGCCGTATAATATTAGTACGTATAAAAATCTTTTTTTGATAAATACTTCGGTACAATCTCGGCCTCGAATTGGCTACATTGACACTAAGGTTCAGAAATTGTACAAGTCTTTTGGAATAAGATATATAAGGATAACTTCTAAAGCTTTTCGCTTCCCTTAATATAGCACTAATCTGCCCTAGCTTATTCTAAAGTTGGAACGAGTGGAGTAGAATATTGAAAGTAAAGATAGACAGGTACGGTTTCTTTAAGCTCCGCTGATAAAAGTTAATATGAACGAAACCACAAAGGACAATACGACCTACTACGGTCTAATGCAAAACTAAAGTAATCTGTAGGGATCTGAGATTTATTTTAAAATTCAACTCAATTGTACTCGTAGAGTTTCAATTTAATATTTTTATTTTAATAAAACACTTTAACGGTTTGAAACGTGATAAATATTAGTTATTAGAATCGTCGGGCCGTAGTAAAAATATTTTTCAAATAAGTTTAACTAATATATATCGCGTTTTAAACCGTTAAAGTGCTTTATTTAAATGTGTACTGTAATGTATAATATTGTCTTTTTAATTCTAGATGCACTAAGCCAAAGGTGTCAGTTTTACTGAGAAAGTATAACATATTTAAATAAACCGTTGAAAGTTACTTATCTAAAACTTATTTTAACTACGGCCCGACGTTTCGACGGAACAGATGGCGCTAGCGTAGCAATTTTTACTTTGTCGTCAGAGACACCCTCCATCTTTAGTGCCTGCTGCAAAGCACCCGAGTTAAAATCACTTTCAATTAAGTTTAACCAACATACATCGCGCTTTATACCATTACAATGTTTTATTTAAATATGTACTACTCGCGTAAACTACGGTATTTATTTTTCACGAGTTAATTTACATGATGGCATTATATAAATCAAAATCATATATGGATTGAGATAAAAATACGACATGAGCAAGACCTAAATCGGCATCCACAGCGCTCCGTGCTGTTGTTAACCAACCGATTTTAATTCATATAATTCTTGAGACAGAGGACGTAATTTTTTAATCTTCGTTATAGATTTATAACGGAAGTTATAATAAGTTTTAAACCGTTAAAATGGTTTTCATTAAATTATAAAAGCAATATATATATATATATAATTAGACCAACATGCCTTCTCCAACCACACAAAGTATGTCCGACTATACTTGTTCAACGATCTAATCGCAAAGAATCAAATAAACATATTGAAAGATGTCTATAACCCTATATTGCAATATAAAGAGTTTTACAATAACAGTTAACCTAACAATATTTATACGTGAATAAGCAGCGGGAATATAAATGGAGATCTTATTGGAAATTTCCAGTCAACCGAGTAAATTTGATTATTGAAAATATGTTCGACTGGTGCACTCTTTTGAATTTAAAGCCCGCACAGCCTTTGATGTTTCCCGTAATAGGATTACTTATATCAATAATACGCCGAAGGAGCACTTAGGCTTATGTCGAGCTTGATGTAAGCTATTGTTACAATCCTTCTAATCTAGGTCTAGCATTTGTTTTGATAGCAACCGCGCTTATGGAATAATTCTTGTGTCCTTTGTAATGGGCACGGAAACAAGCTTTGTACTAATACTCTGTACTTTGAATTCAATATAAGATTTAAACACACAACCAGTCCGTATACGAATTTATAAAGCTGAAGAGTTTGTTTGAACGCGTTAATCTCAGGAACTGCTGGTTTGAATTGATTGTGCTGTTTAGATCATTTATCGAGGAAGCCTATAAAACATCGCCCTGTCACTCATAGGAGCGAAGGAACAGCAGGAAATGTGGATAAGACGGGGAAAATTTTTCATGTTTGTGAATTTTCGCTGCGACAACGGTTCAAGATACTTTATACTTTAAATGATCTAAAAAAACAGTCCGCGACGCTATATGTCTATCTATTGAGATTAGATTTTAAGAACGGCGAAACGCGAACTACGTCGTGGGTAATAGCTTAAGTTTATAATGATGGTTTGGAACAAATGTGGATGACCAAAATAACTCTTCGACGCGGACGAAGTCGCTGACACAGCTAGTTTATTAAAATAAACATTTAAATTATCAAATAGTACTTGCTTTCTTTAAGACGGATTACTTTGAGCAGAGACAGGAATTGGAATTATTCCTTTTGTTTAAGATTTAACGAATGCCAAGAATTGAATGGGAGTTTAATTTTCGTTTTATTTACGCCCCTTGTTCTGGTAATTACATTCTTTGTATTTGTCAACTCGCTGGCACACGCGGTTTTGTTTTGACTTCTATATTGTCAAATGTTTGGGCTAAGTTAATCACTATATAATATAAAACAACGTCGCTTTTTACGTCCATATGTACGCTTTAATCTTTAAAACTGTGCAACGGATTGATGCGATTATTTGTAATAGATAGAATGATTCAAGAGACAGGTTTTTATATACGACGTTCACAGTTTTTATGTAGTGGATTTAGTGTCAGCTTTGCACCCGAACGAGCCGGGTTGCCGGGGCGGGTCGCTAGTGATGTATAAATTGTTTTGACGGGCTGATTAGTCTAATGGTAGCAATGTATGGCTTGGCATCGGGTTGTGGATTCAATCCCCACCGGGTCCTACACGTTTCTAATCAATTTATATTTTTCTGAAATTTTGACATCTGTTAAAAAAACGGCCACATTAATATGTCCGCGTATACACGTAGTCTTACTGTAGGTACGTCATAGAGTTTTAAGTCAATTCGCATTGACTAGAGACCAAGCTTACTTACTGTGTTGTATAGTAAATAATTGGTGGAAAAATAATGATTACCTATTTGTATAATTATCATTAATAAAATTGTCATTGCCTACCATTACTGTACCTAACGCTTACTTATAAACAGTGATTTGCAGTAGAACATCATTACATCGTGTCTCTAATGCCATCTATGTCATTTGTGAGGTTTCAACTCAACTCGATGTATATATTCTTTTTATAAAGATAAATGTAAAACGGAAGTTATTTCTTTATAATCTCTAATAATGTAGAAAAACGTGTACACTGCTCGGCTGTAAGTTATGTATTATTAGAAAAAGACAATTATTTATTTATTACTTAATTATTCTTACAGACATACACGAATACATACAATTAGAAATAAACATTTACCAGATAATAACGCGAATTCTTATTATAAAGAACTAGCTGTGTCAACGAGAATCGTTTTTTTTGGCATTCAAATTTGTTTTTGCAAACCCCTCCATCAAATACTGTCTATAGTTTACGCGAGTAGTACACATTTAAATAAAACACTTTAACGGTTTAAAACGCGATATATTAGCTAACGTCGGGCCGAAGTTAAAAATCATTTTCAAATAAGTTTAACTAATATATCGCGTTTTAAACCGTTAAAGTGTTTTATTTAAATTTTAACTCCTTCATCTTTATAAACTTAGCTGTCACCCATGAGGTTGATCGCGTCCATTTCTAGTTGTGCTTTCAAGTTTATCTTAAAAGATAGACATATAGCGTCGCGGACTTTTTTTTAAATAATTTAAAGACGAATCATTCTTTCATACATATTTGGGTATCTTCAACCGTTTTTGCAGCATACTCTTCGGGAACCCATAATGATAAATAATTTTCACATTTGTCGCTATTTCTTCGCTCCTATTACTCACAGTGCTATTTAATAGCCTCTAGCCTCCCTCCAGATGTTCGATAAATGCTCTAGCCAACACAAAAATAATTATTCAATTCGAACCCGAATAGTTCTCGAGATAAGCGCGTTCAAACAAACAAACTCCTTAGCTTCAACTGCGAAAATGGTTCAACACACACAAAAAAATATGTACGAGAGAATGATTTTCCTTCAAATTATCAAAAAAAATGTCCGCGACAGTGCATGTCAATCTCTTAAGATGAACTCGCAAGAACGGCGGAAACTGAACGACAGGACGCGACTGACGTCGTGGGTAGCACTTTAAAACAAATTCGGATGCCTAACATAACTATTCTACGAAGACGAAGTCGCTGACACAATAGTCCGAATATATCTGGCGTCTTTTAGGAGACGAGTTTGTTTTCATAGCAACAAGCCACACGACCACGTAATCGATTTGCGAAGGGGTTTATATTATTTTCAGCGCCAGCTCTCAACACAAACGCCCTGCCATCGGATTCTAACGAGATGTTTAATTAACTCAGGAATCAGATGCAAATACCATTATTATCCCTAAATCAATTTCAAGTTTCATTTTTCTGCGAGACAAATTGTTGCCGTGGGCTGTAGATGAGGTGTATGTAGCGGAATATTTTCAAGATATCTGTTTACATAAATCATAATTTTATTGTCTTTTAAATCTTCTCTCGTATATAACAATGTGTTTTCAATATTTCTAGAAAACTCTTTATTTTTAGATAATATATATTAAGTTCTTGTTTAATAAAGTGGTAAATAATTATATTTCTATTAGTGCAGCGCGATGTTTTATAGCCTTCGTCAATAAGTGTTCTAACCGACACAACAATAATTTTTCAATTTGAACCCGTAGTTTCCGAGATAAGGGCGTTCAAACAAACAACCCTTCAGATATATATGCTATATATATTAGTTAGGAACTTTCCCTTATAAATAAAATTCTTTCCCACAGGCCGCTGCTTACCAGTTCTCTGCATCCACCTGTTCCACATGTACGGATTGATATCCCACTATAAGCTGGATGTGGCGAAGGCGTGGAAGCTCTTCAGCATGATCGAGGAGGGGTACCACAGCACCAATCCATACCACAACTCGGTTCACGCAGCTGACGTCACGCAGGCTATGCACTGCTTTTTACAACAGCATCGAGTGAGTCTATTGTAACTATTACTTTAGGTAAATTGTGTAATTTCACGGCCATCGTTCAGCATATCATCGTCTTTCAGGCTGTTCGGCCGACGTGAGCGAAATATATTGATTTAGCGTGATATTAATTTAGGATTTTAAAATAATTTTACGAGTATCATGTAGCTAATGTTGTTTTTCGTTAGCCAGGATATTTTTGTAAAAACTGTCAGTAGTTTACGCGAGTAGTTAAATAAAACACTTTAACGGTTTAAAACGCGATATATATTAGTCTTCCCGCGTTCACGGCTGCTGCAAAGCATTCTAAACGTCCGTAGTTAAAATAAATTTCAAATAAGTTTAACTAATATATCGCGCTGTAAACCGTTAAAGTATTTTATTTAAACAGGATATTTTAAATAAACGGCTTTCAGTCGCAATTTTTTTTTCCATCCGTTATTTTAATCAGGGAATATTCTCGAAAGATGCTAAAAGGAAAGAGGTAATGGTTTTTATTTCATTGCACCGGTGATTTCTGAGCGCCTTGATCGTGTGTCTTCAACTCTAAAACCAAAAAAATAAATTGAAAAAAATTACGACTCGGGCAGAACTTGAACCGGCATCGTCGGCGTTCCGTGCTCTAACCAATTGAGCTATCGAGTCCTACACGTAATCGTCGAATTTTCAACTTTTTGATGCATAGACCTCTCTCTTTATTAGTTTTAAAGAATACAATTTATTTTCGTCTTTTAATTTATATAGTGCCGTTATGTGCCATAACATGCAAAAGATTTAGAGTTTAGTAGATATCCGCGTAGTAGTAGATGTAGCGTGAAAAATATGTATTACAAAGTACGTGAAGACCGTAAAATTAAACTTGACAATAACAGGAGTGGCGGCGAGTTTATTGCCAGTTCTTCTCGTTCGCTCTACGCCCTTGATTTGAAAACTGATAGTAAGTGTAAATTTGGAGTCTTTAAGTGTACCTACTTATTATGTGAATAAATAATTTTTGACCTAGTCCAAAACTCTTATTGCCTTTACAATTTGAAATTAATTGTTATAAAGCTTGATAATTGCAGCGATTAGAATATCGCGACGGACCGCTTCGTATACGTCCACTTTAGGTCACCCCAGCATACATTATGCTTTTGCACGTCTTGCCGGAGATTATGAATAATGATCTCCAAGGGAGTGCGAAATACGAGATTGTTATGTGAGATAGTTTGCCCGTGACTTTGAAATTGTTATAAGATCATCCCTATACATTGTCTTTAAATAAACAATGTAACTACAGGTGAATAGACGTACTATTAACTTATTAAGAAACTAATTCAGATTACAACTCAAATAAAACACTTAACGGTTTAAATCGCGAAATTTATTAGTTTACTTATTTACGATTTATTTGACCTTCGGTTTGATGTACTTACCAATTATATTTTGCATTTTAAACTGTGTGTGTGTTTTATTTAAATGTATATTAAAAGTCACGTAGACTACCGACAATACTTCCAAATTTACAGTTAAGGATTATTTTCTCATTAGAACAAAACAACCGATTTACGTTTTCTCAAACATGTTTGGAAATATATGCATTATTTTGACATCCTTTGAGATGAGTCGCACTTGCAAGAATAGTGATAGGCATCATTTGAACTTACGAAATAAGGATAACCTAGCTATCCCGAAATATAGGCTCCATAAAATATCTAATTCATTTGCGGGGAATTCGTATGTACATTGCCAGTCGAGATATCAAATTTATCGATAAATAAATTTAGTTATAAAACTTAGATTGTCTCAAAAGGCGTATTATTGGCTTAACGATTTCGTTAATGACAAGACCCGGCAGTAATATGAATTGCTCCTGTTAATAAATTTATAAAAATGTATTAGTTTATATAATATGTATAATATGTCTTATATTTAAAAAAAGCCGGACTGAGTTTTTTGGGTGTTCTTCTCAGTTATGTTGCTCTTTTAAACACTGTAGAATCACGACGAACTGACAGACAAACGAAAAAAAAAAATTGACGAATCTAAATATTTTTTTAAATTTTAAAGATAATAAAGTATATTTTATTTTATTTTATTTTGCTGTACTGGTCGAGCAGCGGCCGGTAATTGTTGTATGAAAATCTATATCTTTCGTATTTATCGCCCAAATTAAATATGTAAAACCATACTTGTCGTGTAATTTAAAAATGGAACTTCTACTCCGCAACATGGCGACCGAAGAGGTTGTCAAAATTTTAAATTACGAACTGGCTTGCACATAGAAGTAAATAAAATACTTTAGCGCGTAAAAAACAAATAATTATTATTAGATGTTCGGCAACTACGTCAATGGTTTTAAAAGTTCGCCAACTCGCATTGGAGTAGCGTGGTGGGTATCTGTGGGCCTTTAATAGATCCATACAACTAAAATTACGATACTGATTGAAGTGCTACTAGGTTCTCGTAAAGGAAAATATCTGTAAAGGCCCGCTAAAGAAAACCACACGAAAAACGTTCTGCTCCACTGATTACGAAGTGAAGTTGTGAAAACGATTCCTTTGCGTTTCATTCCGCGTCTGTTTTTATATTTGTTTGAATTTTTCGAATTAGCCAAGCGTATCTTCAAAGCCCCGCGAAATGAAAACGGACCGGTTAAGTACCTTCTTCGTCGATCTTAATACAACGATAATGGCATATTATAACTCCGTCCGCGTAGAATAGTTATTTTAGACATCAAATTTGTTTTATCAAACTGTTCAACTGTTGCTTAATGAAGAGTCATGGGTATTTCGTACCGTTTTGGTTTCTATTAGTCATTCTAACACAAAAATAATCGTTAAATTCGAATTCGTAGTTCCTGAGATTAGCGCGTTCAAACAAACAAACTCTTCAGCTTTAAATATTAGTATAGATATATAGTTCACTTCAAAAGCCCCCTTTATTTATAAACTGATAACTGTGTCTAGTAAGAGATGTTTAAATCTTAACTATGGGATACTTAGCGCCTTACAACATTTGACTTGTGGCCAGCACCAGTACAAGTGCTTTGAGGTTAGGTCAGTAATAAGCACTTCCGTCACATAAACTTCCGGATTAAATTTCCGGCCTAACTTGAATATTGAAATAGAAATAGGCCGGGTAGCCTCTCGTAGTTCCGGCGGTGATAGTTAATTACTAGAACACTAAGGAAACGACTTCCTACATGTTATCGTATTTACAAATACAATTTATTACGTTTAGAAAACATATCTTAAATTACAAACTTTATTTTGTTATAAAATTGACCAAAATAGCTTAGTTTGGGGCTATTTTTTCTTTATTAATCGTGGATATTGTTTACATTTATCGTTTTTGCTCTGTATAACTCAGATCCAACAACACAATTAGTTGATAAATTAAAAATAACACGGACCTGTATATGTGTGTAGTAATAAGTTTTCAATTTATTTATTTATTTATTTATTCTTGCTTTATTATTCAATAATTAGTTGATAAGCAAAAACCGTTGCAACTATTTTGTAACTGTCTGGCCCACACTCCTAGACGAAGCGAGGTCTTATACTCATAAAACCCTAATAAATCTCCGTCAGCAAACAAACATAAACAGCTATTTCAATTTATAACGTGTGTAAAGACGGAACGTGAAACGTGACGAAGGAGAAATATTTTGATTTACGCGAACAGGGTCAACGACCCGAGAGCACAATAGTTTAAAGAATACACAGTGGTGTACTATTTTTGCATGTTCGGTTTGAATACTAAAGCTTTATTATATAGCTCGTTTTTTACATGGAAATTAATATTTTTCTCAGGTTTCACGGCATTATTTGGTCATGCGTTGTAATATTTTGACTACGGCTGCTACAAAGCATCTTAACTTTAAATAAAACACTTTTAACGGTTTAAAACATGAAATATATTTCAGAGCTAGCATCCCCGTAAACGGCTGCTGCATAGCATATGAACCGTCGGGCCGTAGTTAAATTTTAAAAAGCTAGCTAATGTATTATAAACAAGCTTTAAACCGTTTAAAATGTTTCCTTTTAGATGATAATTTACTTATCAATTATTATTAACGTCTACAAATAAACGAACGTGTGTTTTAGTGAAAAATAAATCAAACATCGATTTACAAATCCTTCTCATATGCTTTCTTATTTCACTACAAAAGATGCGATAAAACCTTTGCACCAACTTATACATAAGTATTCGTCGTCAGGGCCCAACTTAGCAGTCATTACTTATGACAGCAATTTATCCTTGTCAATATCGAGAGATTATTTATTGATAGCGCCGACATAGGCTCGGAACACTAAACTGCGCACTATGGGAAATGTTGAGGCATACCATATCAAAAATCATTTTTACAATGTATCTAAATCACATTTATTTTAAAGATTATATCGTAATCTTTCATTTAAAATAGATTTTCACAAGAAATAAATTGTGATAGTGTATTAAAGACTACGTAGAAAAAATTTGTAAAGTGGTCCTTCTTTAAAGGGTAATTCGATGCCCTATATTGTTATATATTTTTGAAAAGTACATTTCTTGTAGTTTTATATTGATTAATAATGTATGCAGTGAATAATTTAACATCGATCAATCAAATTTTATAGAAAATGTAAATACATTTGGCAAAAAAATATTTTATTTGTTTATAATAAGCAGGTACTTAGTACGCATTTAATTATTACTTTCCTTATCGACATACACTGAACAATAAAATTTCATGTACAATGTTAAAAATACAGATGTATTTTTTACAATCTGAAGCTATCTTCGTAAATACAAGTTCCAACTTAGAACAAGCTACCACGACATTTTTTTAGTAAATAAATATTTGTTAACCGGTAAATAAATTTAGAAAAGTCAAATATACAAAAAATAAATAAATAAGGTAACTCATACATCCGAATATATTTGTTGCCAAGTATCATACAGTCTGTAGTTTACGCGAGTAGCACACATTTAAATACGTTAACGGTCTAACGCGATATATGTTAGTTAAACTTATTTGGAAA